GTTGTCTCTCCGTCGCGACGCCCTGTCATCCGACGCATGACGCATCGGACGGGACGGAACTTCTTCTTCACTAGAACAACAACAACCTACGCGACGGCGTCGTAATTGGGGGCGACCAGGTTGTCTCTCCGTCTCGACGGCGCTGTCATCGACGGCCTGCATCAGGATCTTCACTAGGAAAGTAATCTCACTTCCCAGCCACGATTCGAAAACTACGCGAGGCGTCAATGGATCCGCACGAGGTTGATTGTGGGAACATTGGGACAGTTGGTTGAGTTTTAAGAACCGATTTATATATTTTTACGCCCGGACGCTTCACAGATAACCGTATAGTAAACCGGGAACCTGTTTTACGTCAACCACTAGGGACCGGATGTACATCGAATTCGTATTGCTAACTCTTGTCCCCCTGCGGGCTTGTCAAGTTCTTACAATTGCACTTCCAGTGAAATGAACATTACTGCACATTACTCACGAGACGTCGTATTAAAAAAAAATGAATGGGGGGGCGAACGTACTAACCACTCCGTCAACGCCACAGTCACCCCCGTCGTGCGAGCCTGATCAGAATGTCTGGCGGGCCGGATGTGGCCCGCATGCCGCCAGTTGATGGTCACTGATGTAGGCTAACCAATTGCTATCTCTTGAGAAAAAAGTAAATATGCGTATTGTAATGAAATTGTGCATATTTCCCCTGACTGACTGAAAAAAGTTTTAAAAGTTTTGTCAAACACTGGAAAAGAAAATGTGTTGAAACCGATTTTCTACAGAATACCAAACATTGTAAATTGAACTTTAAATAATATGGACCACCATCCACCAAAAAGTGTATGGCTAAATGTCAATTGGATTTTCTTTACTTAAAACATAGTGCCTCTATTTCTTTTGGAGGTTAAGGGGTCAAACTCCAAGAAACACTATTGATCCAATGCAGCATTAACATTCATGCTGACGACTTTAAAATGCAGTGCCTGTCAGTGAAGTATACGCCAGAAGGCTACAGGCTGGAACGCTCACACATGGGTATAAAATTACAATAGATGATTAGGACATTTTCTGGTGCAATTATCATGTTCTTCCATTTTTGTGAGCTGGTTCAGTATGAGTATGTCTTATTTTGTTTTCCTCTGTTTATTTATTTCTGTGCTTGCTTGCTTTTTTCATTATTGTACTTTTGGGTGTGATTTAAGGAAAATGACCCTTATTCATAATAAAAGGGAAGGAGGGAGAAAGTACAGGGTCTCTGAAATGTGGCTAGCTTTGAAAGGTCAGTGTGTGCGTGTGTGTGTTTGTCAGTAGCAATGCCTGACTTAAGGCAGCATTACATTTGAATTCCAAATAAATATACTTTTCTCCATTCGTTCACTGTTATGAACGGAGACACAGGACGCAGGACCCAAAAGCAGGACTCGAAGACAGTTGTCCAAAAATAGAATGTTCTTTAATAACAAAAACGAAATCGTACTTTCAAAAAATAGAAAGCAGTTAAATAGCCAAAGCTAAATTGTACAGCAACACAAAAACTCACTTGGCAAAAGGTCTAAATCTCAAGGTAGGTATCAGGAGTCCAAAAAGGCCCAGGTTCTCACGACATGAAACATAACGAACAGACAAAGGAACAAAGAAACACCAGGGCTATATATAGGTGAGGGGGATGGGCACAGGTGAAAACAATCAGGGCAGGGCCAAGCAATCTCAAGGGCGGGAAACACACAAAGGCAGGAAATGTGGGATCTGGAATGAGAGGAAAGATTACTTTCAAAATAAAAACAGGAAGTGACAAGATCAAAACACAAAACTAGAGTAAAAACATGACTAAACATATCTGTAGAGTCACAACAGTTCACTGTGTATAACACACTATTTCTACTTTCCTCTACCTTTTTACGTTCCCTCTTTCGGACCTGTGACCTGTTCAAAGACCGTGGCCTGTTGAAAATTCAATTTGCACTCACTGACTCTCAATCAGTCCCAGAGTCCCTGAGTTTGAGCAGCGTCACATTCTCATATGTAATTTATTTTCACAAGGAACACACAACAACAGTAATATCTCACACACTAAGGTCGTGTGGCATCCATTTTGACAAAAATAAATAGACAAATGGATTTGGATAGGGAGACTATGAAAATAATGGTGCTTATGTGTTTGGGCTATCTGAGCTGTGGCTTTGTTGAACAGTGTATCAAGTTGAATATACATTACCCTCACCCCAAATATATTTACATTTTCTATCAATATTTTCACTTTCTCAGCAGCTCTTTTAATATTTTCTCTCCCTTTTGGTATCTTTTGTGTATTTTTTCCACCATTAGCATTTCTTTTCCTTTTTTTCTTTCCCTTCATATCTCCGTTTCCCTCTGTTCTCTGTCTGTGTGGGTCAGACTTTCTCTCACAGTGGGGGATAGAAAAATAACATCATAATCTCAAATCTGCCATGGCACACTTGGGATTTCACACATTATATGATGCCATACTTGGGCGTGCACAAGAAGAACATGTAAATGGGAGTTGATCAAGAGAAGACAGATTGATTTAAAATGTTATTAGCTTTTTACAAACATTAAAATCTAAAGCTAAATACTATACTACTATAGAATTAGATCTTGAAACCTTTGACAGAGAGAAGGTAGTGACTGAAACTTATCCCAGGAAACTCTAAGGGGAGCATTTACCACAACTCATAGAATCCCACTGTATGGTTGTTCCTAATATTGAGAAATATTTAAAGTTTATTGTCTTAACATTGGATTGTACAGTTCATTTATTTCTGTTGGTGAAACTAAGCCTTTACTAAGGCTGTCATTTATTTTAGGGAAATGTCTTGAGAATTGCAGCTTTAATGCTTAACTGTTGTTTAACTTGTGTTTTTTAGGAAAAGTGTTTGTGTACTGGTGCCTGAAGCAGAGGCAAGCGTTCCTGTCAATGTTGCATGACTTGCTTTTTTATTGTACTATTGTACTGTTGATCTTTAGCAATGCACATCCATACTTGAAAGGAAGCGTGCCATTTGCATAAAGGAAGCACACAATGAACAATTCTTTGCAACTGTTGCCTTTACCAAGACAGCTTAAGTTTGCACACTTACAGTAGGTGGATAGCTAGAAGTGCATAATACATATTATTCTCCAGTTTAAGGGGCATCAACACATTGCAATCTGTATAAAATTCTTTGAACCTCTTGGGAATTAATCCAAAGCGAGAGTCTGTGTCAATCTCCACTATTATTCGCGATGACAATGCTAGGATGAATAAAGCAGGCCAAGACATTTCCAATGAGATGGCATGTTTAACATAACAAAAGGATGTTTTTCCCTGCATCTTATTCTGTTTTTCGGAGAAACCCTGATTTCATTCAGGCAGTCAGTCAGTCTGCTCTCATCTCTTTTTTTGCATTGCCTTTTGTAAGCCCCCATAAGCCCCCATCTTTCCTTATACCCTTCACAACATTCTTTCATTCGGTTTATCGCTCTGTATTTCTTGTTACAGTATATTTCCTCATCATTTTCTGTATTCTCTCATTCCTCTCTGAGGATTTGCCCAGGACATAAAAAGCTTGTATATTTAATTATTTATTTATTTGTTTCTCATTTG